GGCGGCTCCACTGAGCTTTTCACTAGTTTAGTTGAGGGCTGTTTGGTTTCTTTGATGCCACCTAACCATACTTCCTCATAAAACCCTTTAGAAATTCAACAAAAGGGGCAGAACAGGTGGGCAAACTGGGAAATCAAGCAAGGAGACCTCCCGGCTGTAGTCCCTGTTTACAACAGAGAAAAGAGACATGGCGGACAAAAGCAAATGCACGGTTTTCAATAGGACTGGCTCACATCGATGCATTGTGTTGTAGTACATTTAACATTTTAAAAAATATCCAGTGCTGCATGTTATTAGATGCATTTTGAGAGTAAACAGCCAGGGACTCAGTAAACAATTAAACCGTATAGTGTTCTAACAATAATAAAGCATTTCCAGCGCCTGCTGTCCTACAAGACATCTTTTATTGTATGAGCAGAAATTCGACAGTCACTGATGCATTTCTAAGTGGCCTTAGTCATAGCTATGAGCTTAGTCAAGCTATGACCAAAGTCTCAGGCAGAAACGCGTCAGTGGCTGTGTGCAGATTTTATACTTATCCAATAAAGGATGTCTTGGAGGATTTTGCGTGCTGGAAATGCTTTATTATTTTTAAAACACCATCCCAGAAGATGGGCCTCCGTGCACTGAAGGATACGGGACATTTGTTAGGAGTGAATGAGAGGAATTTGATCTTTTGTCTGGTAAATATCTTTTTCTATTTTTACATGTTTTAATGTGGGTATGGACTTTCGTTCAATTTCTTTCCTAATTTCTCATTAAACCAGTACAAGGTGTCTTTGTTATAGAAATGTTGATAGCTGGAATAGATCCATAGGGAAGGACTCTCCACAGCAAGGTCAAGTGTGTTGACAAGGATCAGTGACTAACATAGGAAGAGCATCTGGATTCGGACTGTTGAAGTGATTCAGTGCTGTGTAATAAGTTAAAAGTGATGGGAGCTGCAGAGAACAGCCAATCCTCATTCTTTCTTCCACAGATAAAGAAACACGCAGAAGGTGTTTGGTAATACATCACATTCCTCCTTGACACACAGAGATTATACAAGCTTGCAAATATTCAGAGGTCGTGTGGCAGAAAAGAAGAATGAAATAAAAAAACGAGGCACTTTTAGCTTCATTACGAACATACTTCAGTGCACTAATAAAATATTTACCGCCTGCTGTAATGCAAGTGGATATTGTGCTCCATCGATAAGAATTCTAGCAGAGCCCACATCTGATGAAAGCCAGACTTGAGTTCAAGGTATTTATTGACATAGATGGTGGAGATATCCTTCTGTAAATGTTGTACTTCAAGAACAAAGGGGACAAGGAAATGCTGAGCGCACTTGTGTTATAACAAGGGAATGTTGACGATGGCTGTAAATGAAGAAATGTGATCATTCAGAAATGAAAGTGCAGACCCTCTCATCATAAGCTGCCTCCACCTGACATGAACACTTTATACTCACTGCACATCTCCCCATTACTAAATATAAGATATTTATTAGGTGCACCATCTCTATACCCAACTGCTTTATCAGCAGATAACAAAGCCAATCTCCCACAGGCAGTCTTGCATTGGGAGAAGGAGGGTCAGTACTCTAAGCCAATCAGAATGTACTGCATGCACAACTGCTAACAAAAATGATGATGGCAAAAAGCATAAAGAAGACCTTATAAGCCCTCTGATGCTCCTCCAATGCCACATCCCAGGTTAGGGGCAACAAGGTGGCCAAGCTCTTTTGCTGAACTGTGAAGAGAAAAGTAAGCTCTCCAACCTGGCTGTGTCGTCTTGGTAGACTGGCTGCCACTAGATGTCCTCAGTCTGATAGCCAGCAAAAATTCAACCCGCTTTCTTTGGGCCCAGGTTGTCCTGGACTCATCCCCAGCCTGTGACTGGACAGTGAAAGGAGAATCAGCACAGTGATGAGCTCATCACTCTGTCACTCTGATTTTTCCTCTAGTACAGGGTCTAATATAGAAAGCCTTTAACACACCAAAAAGTGTCAGAGGGTGAAGAAAACTACAGAGATATAATGAATTGCTACAGCAAGCACGTCAGTGCTATTTTCAAAAATGTTATGTATGAGAGCAGCCCAAAAAGGGATAGCAGATTGTCCATTTATCGTGCCAATGTTTTGCAGCTTGGAGAGGAACTGCTGCACTCCTTATCGGAACCCCTATGTATAAAAGGAGGGTGCTGTAGTAACCACGAATGGTGCCGTGCATCTTCAAATATATGATAAAAGTCACCAGCACACCTATGTCTTGTGTCAATAATCCATCTTCTTTATTGACGCAGACTGTCAAAAAATAACGTTTCGGGGGCCACGCAGGGTATCAACTTTTATTATCCCTCTACAGAAAAGAGAATTCATACAAGTGACAGGAAATGGACCTTATTTATGCAACAAACAAGATTCAAACCTGCACTGGAAATAAAAAAAAAAAAAAGAAAGCTTAAGAGGAACTTTACCATGATCTTCAACAGAAGCTTTAGAAATGTTTAGTAATGTCAATCTACAAACACATACTTATAGTTAATTGCCGGCTTTTTATTCTTTGGCTACTTTATTTTTCTTTTCCTCTTCATTTCTCTTATATTGGCCATTTTTACTTCCTGGAACTCTGGGACATGTGACCATGCACACCATATCGGGGTGGAAAATGCCTTCCCCTGAGATCTTTTGAGATTGCAAATGAGATTTCCCAGCAATGCCCTGCTGATGTAACCTTCCCAGGATGCAACACATTACATCCCTTTTGCCAAAGAGGACCAGGAAGAAGTAGAAAACAAGAAATTGAAAGAACAAAAATATGTTTAACTAATGAATGTAAGATTTCATCTCTGCGTGCAGAGCTGCATGCTGATGTGATTTTTAGCCAAAGCACCGCTTTAAGTGGTTACTATGAATTGCCTAAAACAGTTTTTGAGAAGGCCCATTGACACTTGTTGGTTTAATCTACAGCTTTTATGTTGACAGCATGTCTGGGTAAGAAAACCTGGCTATCCCAGCAGATTTTGCTGCGGTCTCTTTATTTCAGGCTAGCTTGGTCAATTAATGGCTCATTCATCGCCAGTGACACGCACACTGGAATAGAGACGGGAATCGCTGACGCTGGCATTTCTAAAGCAGTAATAATGAGAGTCTTCAGAGCCAATCATAAACATTTCCTGGATTTATTGCAATGTTCCGTCTGTTTTCATTTTTTGTGCCTGGAAACTGGCAACATTTACCATCTGCTTTAGCAATGAATAGAAATAAATACAGATATGACTAATACATACAATGTAACACAACGACTTGTCCATTTATAAAACATACATCAAAATAACACAACAACAATGTGACTTTAGGCATTTAGGACACAAAGAATCCATGTACATTTGTCACCAAATAAGATGTATGATTTATGCTGCTCATCGATTTGCTCTGTACAACATACAGTAATTATGTTCTGAACCCCTGCAACTTTCTTCACATTTTTCAGCCGTGGAAGGAGCTCTAGGTGTGGTGTCAAGTTGGCCTGACAACAGATGTCAGCATTTTCAGTAAGAGAAGTCAGAGATACTACAGGCCAAAAGAATAATTTCATCATACCAGTAGTAAAAAAGGTTTCTGCCCATCCTCAGAGAGGACTGCTTTACCTACGGTTCTTCAAAAAAACAACTTACTGGCACCTACTCTAGAGATAAACAGAACCCCTGCAACATCATCCAGGTAAGAATTTGGTGTAAGCAAGTGTCACTCTAATGGGGGGAGGCAGAATTACAATTGGGCCCTTAAAAAAGCAGCACTGCAGCCCAAAATAACAAAATGTAAATTAGCATATTAAAGGTTAAACAAAAACAAAACAGGATCAGCTCTTGCTGAACTATTCACGTTCAGTCTAGAGACCCCCGCAGTACCTCTTTTTAGCAACTAGATGTCCTCAGTCTGATGGGCAGCATCATTCAACCCACTTTCTGTGAATTCAAGCTGTCTGAGCCACCCCACCAGTAACTACAGTAAAATGAGCTCATCTGTGTCACTCTGCTTTGTCCTCCTATCAGCATGCTTCTTGTCAGCACATAAACCAATTGGCTCCTTGCGCTCCTTTTTCACACGCTCTTGCCTGCTGTACAGTCACTGTAAGTATAAGCTCCATTGACAACCTCTAAAGAAAACCTCAAAAGTTAGGCACCAGCTGTAATTTTTAGGGAACATTGGCTACATGGACCCTGGGATTTGTCCAGCCAGTGGACCAGTAGCTTAAAATGACCCACTTTGGCAGCTGAAAGTCTATCATGGCTCAGATGTGCAATGTAGACCACCCTTAGACCAACTATAGGAAAATGGGCGACCCACTGCAGAGCTGGATTGTTGGGGTACAAATAGGCAGAACACCTCCTACACGATTAACTGCTAGGGACGCTGGACTTGTACAGCTAAAGACAACAATGTACTGTGGTTAAATAATACCAACAGATTGTATACTGCACAAGCTTGAAGGAACACCAGTAACCACATTTCTGCATCTGAATTCCTAGGTTCACACATGAGCATCACCCTCCCCAGCTGAATTTTTCAGTTTACATTATAGTTCGGTTTAGAGGAATTCTGTATTATACAGTTTAAAATAGTTTGAATGGTACCGCATGTGAAACTCTTGTGTGATCTGCTATCAAATCAAACTCTGATCATGTAATACCTGTATAAAGGAAACAACAAAATAAGAAAGGTACCTGCACGCATTGACCACAAGATGAAATTCTGTAACATGCAAGACGTGAGAGAAATGTGTGAAGAAGACATCATGTCATCCTCTCGCACACAGGCACAGTACTGAATATTTGGCAGCATAAAGGGAGGGCTTGTGACTGCAGGCTTTGGCTGCGGTCCCTGATGGAACATATTGAACAGTTCCAGCTTCCATGTTGTGCATGTCAGTCTGAGAACAATATTTCAGATAACAGAGCAAAGCCACAAAAAGGCAACAGCTCAAAGGAGGAGAATATGGTAATCGTGCACTTACCTCACAGTTTTTTGCTCCCTGCTGTTTCCTCCCTGAGCTTGCAAAGCCAACATTCTGCGGAGACAAGCAAAGACAGTTGGGTGTTATTCTGAGCATCTGCCATCAGCTTCGCCTTGCTAAGACAAGAACGGACTGAGTGTTCAGCAGCGAAGGAGGACAACAATAAGCACAGCTAAGCAGCCTTACAACTTCCGTTTCAGAGTTAAAGGTGCAGCTGAACAGATGCAGCAACTTTTCATGGCCTGGCAGAGGAGCACACAGTGACAATGATTTAGAGTGAACATATTACAGAAACGTTTAGTATGCTTCCAAATGCCAGGTCATAGTATTCACATTGCTTTTCATTTACCTTACAAACAATATCATGCTTAGAACACACAGTGTGAACAAATGATAAGGTTTCTGTAAAATAGATTTACATAACTGGAACCATCTCTGAGATATTAAAGAGCGTCATGAAACAGATATATGCGACATGCAATGAAAATTAACAAATTTAAAATAATGCATTAAGTAAGCTACAATTACCTGTTCAAGTCAGTCTCTCTCTCTCATACATTGTGTGATATACATCACACATTAAAAAAAAAAAAGTTTTTAGCCATAATAGACACAGTATACACAGCATATTAGCACATTATGGTAGATAGATCCGTCAAAGCGATACGCTCCAGCGCTGCAATCCTCCCTCTCTGGTGCGGTCTTTTTCCAGGTTTCAAGTCTTCATGTGCTTAATTGGCCAGGCACTGACAACATAACTTCTGTACATTTGCATGGGTTACTTCATCTGATCCCTGTGCACTAAGCTGCACATTAAAAAAAGGCATGCAGACGCTTACTTACACAGTCTCTTCTGCCACAGAAAGCCTGCCCCACAGCAATTTTTTTTCTTAAAAGGAGAACTATGTGGTTAGGGCTTTTCCCCATAGTTCTCATAAGGGTAACGGGAGGACACAAACTAGCGTCCTCCCGTCACCCTAAGCTCAGCGAGCTGTACTGAGACGCCACAGCTGAAACGGATCCCGACAATTATGTCTGGATCTGCCCAGCTTTGTGAGTGACAGCTCGCTCTGCATATCTAGAGGCAGAGACAGCTGTACCCGCCCCCCTCCCTTGGCCGTTCCACCAGTCAGCGCTGGAGGATCGGAGCGTGACAGGATCGAGAAGTGAGCGAACGCCGGTATGTGTTCGCTCACTTCCAATCTACTAAGCCGACCTGCGACAGTTTCATTGTCACAGGTCGGCTAGAACTATGAGGTGAGTGAAAAGCACTCACCTCATAGTTCTCCTTTAACGTCACTTGCACCTTAAATTCTGAATGGTGTAGAGAAGGGGTAAGAAATCCTGTTGGTTTATTTTCTGCTGTTTGTATTCTGTTGAAGCAATTGTACTTCACTTCCTGTCCATGAGATGCAACAGGAAGTAAGGAAATATCTTTCCATAGTTCCATAGTCATCAGAACAGGGGTTCCCATTAGGTGCTTTACCCTCACCTCTTGTTCTAGAGACAACTCATATTTTGGACTTCCCGTCACTTTCTGTCTTTGTGATAAAGGGTCCATAGGACAAACAGAAGGTAAATCCAAGTGGGGAATACAAAATTGTCAGTTCTACTCCTCCCGACATGTTTTGGCTTTAGATACACTGTAAAAAGACTGCAGAAAACATCTATTTTGATGTACAGACAGTAAGTGTCATTACTGTCAGATCACACAAAGTGACAACAGCTCTCTGTGCTCCATTATAGCTCACCACACACACACATTACAATCTCCCAACAAATACCTAGTACAAGGCCCATTACATAGTTTTGACAAATCTAAAGTTGATTGTACCAAGGTTGTATGGTAAGACTGTGCAGTGTAGGCAGTAAAATGGAAACTTTGTGAAGAGTATTGTCCAATTTGTTTCATTATATTTTTCATTATCTGCAGTGCTGGAAATGTCTAAGGCAGGGGCGCCCACTATTTTTCGTCTGGAGATCTCCTTTTCAAATGACGAGCTCATTGAGATCTACCAACGAAAAAACACCTGCATTCAGGGGTGGGAGGGGGCGTGGGCTGCGCAGGCAGGCCCCTCGCCCACAGTGCGATCGCCTGCATTAGTGCCTGTGTTCCAGTCCAGTGCGATCCGCAAAAATGCTGCGAGCACTATTTTTGCAGATCGCACTGGACCGCAATGCAGGCACTAATGTGCCTGCGTTCTGAGTGCAGGCGATATCCGCTCAGCCAGTTTTAGTTTTGAATAGGGCGGGAAGGTGTTTGAACCCCTGTCTGGAGCTCCACAAAATCAGAACTTTCGTTCCTAATGGCAAAGGTTTTACCATACAAGTGAGGGAAACTCTGCAACATGGACACAGACTGTGATAACAAGCTAGTCAAGGGCAGTAGCCACAAGAATGGCGATTGAGTCCAGAATAGTTTTTTTTTTTTTTACTAATAACAGACCAACAGGCTAAAAAAAAGCCTGTTTGTAAACTAGATTGACACTAAACTCAGGAGTTAAATCTTAAAAATGCATTCAAGCACCTTAAACTATTAGGAATACTGGACCTTCTTTGTGCATAACTCTTGGAGGGGGGCTACTTTTGTTCCCCATGGTCCCTGTGTGTGTTGTAAAGTAGCCACCACTCCAGAAGGAAGGACAGTGTCAGTACCAATTCTATCCTCATACACTTAGTATCTGAAACTAGGGATGCACCGATATATCGGCCGCCGAAACATATTGGCCGAAAATGGCACTTTTGGCATAATGCCGAAAGAGCCATGTTTCGGCCGATACATCGGGTCATCCCTGGTTAATTGAAAAAAAAATTGAAAAAATAAAAATAAAAAAAAATTTCGGTATCGGTTTCGGCCTGACATTTTTTTTTATTTCGGTTTCGTTTCGGTTTTAAAAATTCCATTTTGGTGCACCTCTATCTGAAACAAAGCAAATAAAAAAAAAAAGTTTGCCTAGACATACACTTTAAAACACAACTCAGTTGTTACATGATCACTCTCGATCTATAGAGCCTGCATTTAGCGGTCATGGTCTCCTCCCTGCAGGAAATAGTGACCGTCAGTCCCCCCTCCCCACTTCCAGCACTCATTGGAGGGACAGACAAGGAAGGGGGCAGGAACAGATGGTTCTGGCTCCAAAGAGGCAGAGCCAGGTGCCAATCAGACAGCAGGGTGGATCCCAACAATATTGTCGGGATCTTTCCTGGCTGCAGTGCGGCTCTACGCTGTCAGTATTTAGCAGGCAGTAGCCTACTAGATGCTGACAATGGGTTACAGGAGTACATTGGTAGATATATTCCTGTAACCTAAAAGAGAACTAAAACCAAAAATAAAAAGGTTTGTTTATTTGTGTTGCTGTGGGACATGGACCTCTGGAAACACTGAGTCCTTTGTAGGGGCACAGAAGAGCCAAGATGATCCCTGGACTATGGATATAAATAGCGTTTCCTAAACCCATTATTGTGCATCAATGGTCTGTAGTCTGGAAGCTGCACATTTCATACGGGTCTATTAGCAGATCTGTAAACACGGTTTGCTTTTCTCTTCCTTCTTCAGAATTGTAACCCTCTTCCTGTTCTGTCGCAGCTCTCAGTTTCACACATACTATATATATGAACTCTCAATTCTCATTTCAGACCAGGAAACAGCAGAAATTCAAGTCAACGTTCAGACACCGATGCCGTATTCCCATTTCAGACTAATTTGTATTGCTTTTACTGCTGAAGGGACATTACGGAACACAATTAGCAAAATGTGCTGCCAGAGACCCAAAACCATTCTACTGTGTAAGAGTATTCACTAACAAATGTAGGTAATATATTTGGTTTACAGTACCCACAGGTTACACTTTCCCAAGGCATTCACACAGCATTAAATTAGGTTTTTAAAATGACCCACTGCAAGGGTTTAGTGCTCAGTTTTGCCACCTCATCCTCCGAGCCGTCTTGTTCTAAAACTGGTGCCTTCTGCCTTGCTCCTCTGCAGCGGTTTAAGGTCCCTGACTCATAATGTTCTATGACGGTGTATAGGACGTAAGGACAACGAGGGGCATTGCATCGCTGCAGCGGAGGAGACGACAGGCAGGATGGAGCTCTGTCACAGCCAGCCATCTTGGAGAATCGGGTGAGTATAACTTTAATTTTGAACCTAGGTCAAATCAAGCACTTAATCCTTGCGGTGCGGAGTTAGCCCCACTGCAAGGGTTAAGAATTGTTTTACCAAGAGTTGTTCTTTAACCTGCCTACTATTTCTACCATTTTGATGAAGTATTTCTGCAGATTACATTTTGATAAAGGAGTGATCAGCACCTAAAATCTGTCTACAAAACTATGCATACTTAATTGTGTCATATGCTGCACATTTACCCACTAAAAAAAGGGTAGGGTTTGTGTGCAAAATGAGTTGAAAGCCTCTTCTCATTATGGATGACTGCCAGTAAAACGAAACAGTTAAAAATAGTAGTACTGTAAAGGTGGTTTACCATGTAGAAAGCACATAAAGCTGTCATAGTGGAGATTATGTTTAATGACAACCAGCAAGTTAACCATTTATTAGGCTCAATTGAAGTGTACAGGGGCTTACTCAGTAACCTATATCTGAAATAGGCTGGAACAATGACAAACTCAAAAGGCATATGTTCCAAATAGCATGGAGAACATGTTATTCTCAAGGAGAAAAAAAATCTGCATTAAATCTCCATGAGTGCACAAAAATCAACATTTCATTCAGAATACTGAAAATGGAACCTGCAGAGGACAATGTAATATGATCAGGGGATATGGGGGGTCTGTGGAATAGGTTACCCTGTATGCAGTGAGGAGTTTTAAGCCCCTCCCACACCCACATTTTGCTATGAGCGCTCATACAAAAAAATCTCATCAGAACATTCTATAATGCCATGACAAAGAATGTTGCTCAAAAATTTTGCAAAGTTTTTAACATTGAATTTTGGGATGAATGGAGTTCCCTGAACAAAAAACACATTCACTGTTAGGATTTCATTCGAGGAAGGTTTTCCATTCTGCTCCTTCAATTTTTCACCAGTTTGTCAAAT